AAAAACCCAAGAGAAAAAAAAAAAAACATGTGCTTCCCCTAAGGAAGTGGTTGGCCCATTCTGGCAATAACTAAGCCAGGGCTACTTCAACTTTTTTCCACTCACGACCCCTTTTCCACCCCAGAAATTTTCACATGACTCTGGATATGTAGGTAATCAAAAAAAAAAAAAACAGGTTTACAAATCAAACATTGACTGGTAAGAAAAATTAAACGTTTCCCCTGGTTTTGGGGCAACACCTGGAGATGCTCAGGGGTTACTCCTGGCTCTGCACTCAGAAATTACTCCTGGCGATGCTCAGGGAACCATATGAGATGCCAGGGGGTCAAACTCGGGTGGGCCACATGCAAGGCAAATGCCCTCCCCGCTGTACTATTGCTCCAGCCTCCAAAATAAACTTATTTTTAAAGCTTTTTCATGACCCTCAACTAAAGACCATACAGTTAGAAAAGACATATAAGGACTCTAGGGCTGGAGAGACAACACAGTGGGTAGGGCATTTGCCTTGCACACGGCCGACCCGGGACATCCCATATGGTCCCCTGAGCACTGCCAGGAGTAGTTCTTGAGTGCATGGGCCAGGAGTAACCCCTGCGCATCACCGGGTGTGACCCAAAAAGCAAAATAAAATAAGAAAAAAGACACATAGAACTCTTGTTTCCTTAGTGGAGAGCAGAAGTGAAATGGTTTTGATCGAAGGATCCCTTATTTTGTTTTGTTTTGTTTTATGGCTTTTTGGGTTGGTCACACCGGCGATGCAAAGGGTCACTCCTGACTCTGCACTTAGTAATTACTACTGGCGGTGCTCAGGGGACCGTACGGGGTGCTAGGCATCAAGTCTGGGTCTGTTGTGTGCCAGGCAAATGCCCTACCCACTGTACTATCACTGTGGCCCCAAAGGATCCCTTTTTTTTTAACTTATCAAGTGGATCATTTTGTTTTAGTCAAACAAGGAGTTTGCCATACTAATGGAAGGGCCATGGTACTGTTTTATGTTAGCAAGGATAACCTTGCTAAAGGTCCTAACCTCAAGAGTTTTTCCACTAGGTCAGATAGTCAAATCTATATTGCTAAATGTCTCAAGAAAAGAAAATACTCAGCATTAAGAGCGATAATTATAGAGTGTTATGTGAGATCCACACGCACCCAAGAAAACAGTAATCACCCCCATTCAACAGATGTTGTTGAATGTTGTGCACTGCAGAGAACCGCCAAGCTGACAGAGACTCAGCAACCCATGCCAAACACAATTATCTCTCAACTACACTGTCATATTAATACTTGATTTATCCAGAAGAGCTAGGGAAACCAATAGTCTGATTTCTTTTCTCCAAGCTCCACCACTGATTTCCACGATTGCAGGTGAAAAACTTGAATGTAGAGACTTTTGGAATGCAGGGTTGTATGAGAATTTGAGCCAAGTGCAATCTTGGCCTGGTGTGGTGACAACTATGACCTCCGAGATTGGCTCAGACCCCACCTTAAATGACTTGGTTCTTGGTTCCCACAGAAGAAATCATGGACCCAGGAGCCATGTGTAGGAATCTGAATTTTAAATGCTTCCCTATAAAACCCAGCTCCCGGAAGCACAAGGCCGCATTCAAGGCCGTGCGACATCTTATTATCTCATTCTTACTTTGGACAACCTGGAAGGCTACCAAATGTCACCTGCCCACACGGCAGAGTCTGGCAAACTCCCCGTGGTGTCCCCAATATGCCAAATACCAGCAACAATGATGGGTCTCGTTCTCCTAACCCTGAAAGAGCCTTGAATATGGCACTTTTTAAAAAAATCTCAGGGCTAGGACAAAGGAGACGTTACTGGGGCCTGCTCGAGGCAATCGACAAACAATAGGATGATTGTGATCGTGATCATGAAATGCTTTCCAACCTCTTTTGTGCTGCTGTAAGATAGAAACTGAGAGAGTACTGTGGGTGAAGTCCTCCCTCTGCACGTGGCTATCTGCTTTCACACCTAATGCCAGTTCCCTGAGCAGAGCCAGGAGTAAGCCCTGAGCACTCAGAGGTGTGGGCCCCCCAAATGAGAAACAATACCTACAAATTTTCAAAAACTCTCATTTCTAAGCTACTCTATTACAGAAATGCTTATTGTGACCGCCGAACACTGTCTTCTACCTTCAGTTTATTCATTTGCACATAACCATCGGCCAGAGAACTGAGATCTGGGTATCCCCAAGATGCTGGACACATCTCCTTAACCCCCCACTCTGGTTTCCTCAAGAATGAAGGCGAGCACAGGGCCAGGGAGACTGTGTAGGCTAAGACACTTGTCTTGCACGCTACTGACCCCAGTTCGATCCCCAACACTGCATATGGTTCCAAGCATGACCTGCCAGGAGTGATCCCTGAGCACAAAGCCAGGGTTAAACCCTGAGCCCCGGGTGTGACTCAAGACCCCAGAACAAAAGCAAGGATAGAGAACAAGAAACAAGAGTCCTATTGACAAATTCATACAGATCCTTAATCTGTAGGACTTAAAAGCAAAAAGTCCTATTTTTGCTTTTTTTTTTGAAGGGGGGTCATACCCAGCAATGCTCAGGGGTACCCCTGGCTCTGCACTCAGGAATCACTCCTGGCGGTGCTTGGGAATCGAACCCTGCCAGCTGCATGCCAACGCCCTACCGCTATACTATCACTCAGGCCCCACAAAGTCCTACTTTTGAACCACCACAGCACAATCGGCCCATTGCCAGTGCTCAACACCAAATGCATCCCCCCTGGATCTGTATTCGTGGTTCTCAACCCCCAGACCTGGTCTGTGAACCAGCTGTTACAACCACTCTGGGCACTTTTGAAAGGTCTTCAATTTCTCATCTATGAAGAGCATCACTAATCGAAACTGAACTCCTCAGCAATTTAACACTGCATTCAGGTGTGTGTGTGTGTGTGTGTGTGTGTGTGTGTGTGTGTGTTGGGGGGGAAGGGAAAACAAAACAATAACCCTATGCCATGGAAATTCAAAGAAAATCTTCTGCCTTATGCTTTAGAGGGTGAAGGTTTCTTCCCAAAAGTGAGAGGTGGGGGGCTGGAGCGATAGCACAGCGGGTAGGGCGTTGGCCTTGCATGCAGCCAACATGACTGACACAGGTTCGATTCCCAGCACCCCATATGGTCCCCTGAGCACTGCCAGGAGCAATTCCTGAGTGCATGAGCCAGGAGTAACCCCTGAGCATGGCCGGGTGTGACCCAAAAAGCAAAAAAAAAAATTGAGAGGTGGGAACCCCAAGACCCTGAGTGGAGGGAAATGAACACTCCAGTAGGGGCTGTTGTCTGTTGCTAAAATATTGCATCTATAAAATCCTACTGCTGACAGTATTGTAAAATTGTTAAACCATGGCGACTAAAATGATATTTTAAGCACCTCACTGGGAGTCAAAGATAGCATGAGGGTAAGGTGCTTGCTTTGCATGAGGCTGACCTAGGCTAGATGCCCATTACCCCAGAGGGTCCCCCAAATCTTGCGAGGAGTGATCCCCGAGTGCAGAAGCAGGAGGAAGCCCCTCTCATTAGTCCAAATAACAAAGAAGTACTCACTGACCCACTACCCTGGACAACAGGACACCCCTTCTTTTGAGTGCAACCTCTAATCTGGATGCAGATCCCCCAAAAAGTCACTCATCTTCTGTTCTTCCTTTTATTTAAACAACTTTCCACATCCGTCCGAAGTTATTCAAGCCATACAATAGTATGTGTTCCCAGGTCTTCTACAAATGTCTGGACAGACCAACTGACAAACCCCAAGGGCTGAACACTCGAGAATAATTTATTTCACAAGAAGCTTGGAGAGGGTCTTTGTATGGACGAAACACCTAATGATCAGGCGTCTGATATACCAGCTATTATTTCTCCGTGAAGGATGATTCAGACTCAGAAAAAATCCAGGCAGATGAATGTTTTGTTGTTTCGGGGACATACCTAGCAATACTCAGTAGCCAACGCCTGGCTCTCGGGAGTTACTCCTGGTTCTGCACTCAGGGATCATTCCTGGCAGTGCTCGGAGGACTTGATGGGATGGATATTGGGAACGGAACCAGGGCCAGCCAGAAGCAAGGCAAGCCCTGTAAAAACTATCTCTCTGGACCCAAAAAGATGAATTCTTCTCTTGATCCGAATCACTAGCCTCCTGCAGCCATTTCGCAGTTTCAATTCAGCAGGATTTGGGTTGCATCATTTTCACTGATAAACGCTGGTGTCAGTGGGGAATTCACAACGAATTCCCCACTGGAGACAGAATCCCAGAGAGCGTGACACTTTGCTGCCACCTTGTGGCAACTTGGGACAGAAACCAGCAGCAAATTCGGCAAGACAGCTTTAACTATGCTTTAATACTGAACTTGGGGATTCTGCCAAAAAAAATCCCCGCCCTCCCACTCCACCGTGTTCCCTCGGTATCAAGCACACAGTAGTCAGGCTATGTGTACCACAAAAATAGGTCACTTTTATTCCAAGCCTCGGATAAGTGGATCAAAGCTACATACTAATTGTAACTGGTACAAATACAGAGAAAGTTTATGTTCAGAACCTGCCTGAGAGTTTCTCCTCCAGCACAGAAACCCCAAAGCCTGCTCTTGAATCAAGTGCTAGAGAGAGAGAGAGAGAGAGAGAGAGAGAGAGAGAGAGAGAGAGAGAGAAAACCACCAGCAAAATGGAAAGGAGAAAGAGACCACCCTTCCTCCTCCCCCTTCCTCCCTCCAAAAACCAAACAAAAAAAGAAACACAGGATTCATGTTATTTTTAGCAAAACGATGATTTGGCTTGCTCTGTGACGGGAAACCAGGGCGTCCAATCCAGTCTCTGGTGGGGAAAATGCTCTAGTCTTGGTCTGCAGCCTCTTTCTTCTTTGAACCCATTCCGTGTTCATCACCCATTTCCAAAGCCCCGATCCCACTTCCTGGGGATCTTGCCCGCAGCTTCAGTTCCATCCGACGCGGTTATTTCGGCAAAGAAGGCAAAGGCGGTGGGACGGGTTGGGCGCGGGTGGAAGCAGGGATAGGAAACGTGGGAGGCGCTTTCTTGGCGGAACCCCAGAGTTCAGCGATGAGGCGTCGTCAGATGAGGAAGACGATGCCCTCGGACACCATGACCTGGTTGTCATCCTGCATCTTGCTGAGGGCAGCCTGGATCTCCTCGGCAGAGAAGGGCTCCCCTCTGTCCCGGTTGACGGATTCCGTGAGGCGGGTCAGACCCACCGACTGTGCGTGCACTTCCCGGAACACCTCTAGGAGGGCCGCCTTGAAGGCCTTCAACCTGCCCATGGGAGGAAGGGAAGGTGAGAGTGAGGGTGAGGAGGAATGAACTAACCCACATGGTCTCAGGCAAGTTCTTCAGTGGAAAAACCCAGTGCTGATACAATGTAGGTGTCCCCCATGCTGACACACACACACACACACACACACACACACACGCCACTGACTTCGTTGGGCGTTGTTAATGTAATGGAGGTGTCCCCCATGCTATCACATACGTGCCACTGCCTTCATTGCCATTACTCTGCATCCGAGTGGCCCCGTTAGGCTAGACTTGCTGTATTACACACTGGGAAATAACAGCATTGACACAAATCAGAGAACTCGGGAGTGTACGGGGCATTGGCATATCCGACGCTGGCAAAAATGCAAGCTGTCATCTTTGGGATGCAATTTAGCAACCTGTTCAAAAAAATCTGATAAGGAGAGGGGCCCGAGAGGACAGCGGGCGAGTTTCCCTTGCACACTGACCCGGGATGGATCCCCAGCAAACCCTATGGCCCCCCTGAGACCAGCTGGAGTGATCCCTGACAGCAGAGCCAGGAGTAAGCCCTGAGCACCACCGGGTCTGGCCCAAAGTCAAAAAAAATTAAATTAAATTAAAACTAAATGTTATTAAACGCTTGGGGCTCTGGGTCTGAGCTCTGTGGAGACACAGCATGTTCCCTCTTGCAGAGGAAAGGTGCCCAGCAGAAGGGGCATCAGAACTCATTCTCCCCCTCACCTGGGTTCACTCAGTTCCACTCGCTGGGACTCTGCCTCCTTGGTCGCCTGCGAGTCCTCCGTCTCCTGTGAGTCCTTGGTCTCCTGCGAGTCGGCTGTCTTCGGAGTGTGCACTTTAGACAAGAAACGGTTGCAGAGGATTTAAAAAACAAGGTGAAGCCAACACCCAATAAGAGAGAGAGAACCAAAGGAAATGCCCTGCCACAGAGGCAGGGTGGGATGGGGGGGATGGGGGGGTGGGAGGGATACTGGGATCCGTGGTGGTGGAAAATGGGCACTGGTGGAGGGATGGGTGTTTGATCATTGTATAATTGAAACCCAAGCACAAAAATGTGTAAGTCTACAACTGTACCTCGTGGTGTCTCACTAATAAAAAAATTTTTAATAAAAAAAAAATTTTTTTAAATAAAAAAATAAAATAAAATACCAAAAATCAAAAATGAAGACATCATATGGTCTTCATTTTTAGCAATAGAAAACAAATTATCTAATGATGCCTTTTCTGCAGGTGTGATAGTTGGGGGGAAAAAAATCCAAATAATAATAGTCTTTTGTTGAAAATTCGAATACAATCAAAGTAAAGAGAGACTAAATTGAAAATCACCTGCCACACGGGCAGGGGTAGGGGTGGGCTGGGGGCTATACTGGGGTTCTTGGTGGTGGAACATGTGCTCTGGTGAAGGGATGGGTGTTTGATCATTGTATGACCGAGACTGAAACCTGAAAGCTTTGTAACTGTTCTCATGGTGATTCAATAAAAAAATAAATAAAATTAAAATAAATAAATTTTTTTTAAAAAATGAAAAACAAAGTGAAGCCTTTCCACAAACACCAGAGAAATCATCTCCTCTGTGAGTCTCTGCCTCTCCGTGCGCTCACTCGACGCTTACTTCCTAGGGTTCTTCTGGGGTCATTACAGAAAAATGGGGGACTCTCCGGTATGTGATGTAACATTTGAGTCAGGCACAAGAGACTCTCCACTTAGGATGCTGGTGCTGCTCGTAGGAGTCTGGGCGAGAAGCCGCTCATCAAGGAGAGCAAACCCAAGAGCAAAGCTTTTTACGAAGTTCTCGCTATGGGGGTGAGGGGGGCGGGGGGTCCCAAGTACAACGTCTCTTGGGAGAAGACAAGGAGCCCTCGTCAGAGAGTCACCGGAGAAGCCACCAGAAAGGGAAGCGACAGAGTTGGGCATCCGGGTGGCAACCCTTCACCGGGAGCGGGGGTGCTCTCTTACCTTGAGGCATTTCTTTTTCTGTGTCGCTGAAGTCATAGGGGTCATAGGACTCCCCATCCTTGGCCTCTGAGCGACGAGTCCTCCTCCTGAAAACACCCACCCCGGTTTTAGAGTTCTGGAGAGCCCCGTCATGACAGAAAAAGAGAACCGGAACCAAGGGAAATACCAGGCCTCTATGAACTATTACTTTCTTTCTTTATGTTTTTTATTTTTTTTTCTTTTTGCTTTTTGGGTCACACCTGGCAATGCACAGGGGTAATTACTCCTGGCTCTGCACTCAGGAATTACCCCTGGTGGTGCTTCGGGGACCCTATGGGATGCTGGGGATCGAACCCGGGTCGGCCGCGTGCAAGGCCAAGGCCCTACCTGCTGTGCTATCGCTCCAGCCCCCGAACTGTTACTTTCTATGAAAAGACCAAGTGCTTATAGAGCAGAACTCAAATAGGCCCTGGCCCCTAAAGCTTTTTGCCTCATCACCCACCCTAATAAACTCAGCCACAGGCACAGGAGGGAAAAAACAATCCCCAGGAAAAGAATTTTGGCACGTCTATTCGGAGCCGTCTGTGTGAGCTCCCGAGATGTGCATTTCCTTGGGAGGAAGGACGGAGAGCGCCACGTCCTACCCCCGCCCCACTCTCCCGGTCTGGGTCACCGCCCACCCCTCTCCCAGCCCAGCCTAGAATCTTTCTGCGCTCATTACCTCTTTGTCTTCTGCTCCTGGACCTCCTGGTTACCCTCTTCTTCATCTTCGACGTCCGACTCATCCTCGTCTCGCTTCTTACGTTTCTTCTCCTTCTCGAGGACCTAGGACCGAGACAAGCGTCGTGGCAGGGGGGTGGTCACTGATGCCGGGGAACAAGACACTGAATTCTGTCCCTTGAGTCACCCTGCTTCTAAGTCCCGACACCTGGGCACAGAGACAAGTCTACCTGTCTTGAGAAATGCAGCAGAGAAGTATGTTCCATCCATTTCACAGGAGTAGATACCCAATGAGTTTACCATTGAGAGTTTAACAAATTAAGTAATGGGTGGGGAAAAATATGCAGCCCAGACTGGTGAAGTCAATGAAGTAGCACTGTCCTCCCGTTGTTCATCGATTTGCTCGAGCGGGCCCAGTCACGTCTCCATTGTGAGACTTGTTGTTACTGTGTTTGGCATATCGAATACGTCACGGGGAGCTTGCCAGGCTTTGCCGTGCGGGCGAGATACTCTCGGTAGCTTGCCGGGCTCTCCGAGAGGGGCGGAAGAATCGAACCTGGCTTGGCCAGGCTGGCGGCTTGCAAGGCAAACGCCCTACCGCTGTGCTATTAAAAAAAAAGAAGAAGAAGAAAAAAAAAAGAACGGATGACTAAGCATGTATAGCATCAACTCAACCCAAATCTCTTGGGGCTCTGTGAGGTTTGGAAACGGGATTTTTAAAGCATTCCGGCTGGTTCCAACCAACATCAGGGTGGAGAGCCACGGGTACCCCCAGCTCCAGAGAAAGGGAGCTGGAACTGTGATCCACACAGTCAGTGCAGACACCGAGCCTGAGCCCCAGCGCCCGGGAGCGCCCGCGGCCTCACCTTCTTGAAGTAAGCGTACTGGACCAGCTCGACCGCTTCCTCTGCGTCCTGCAGATCCACAGTCTTGCTCATACGGGCCTTGGCGTGGGCAGTGGACAAGCGAATCAGGGTTTCCAGTGTCCGAGCGGTGACTGGGGAGGTCTGGGGAAGACACAAGGGCACTTTAGTTAGCTGGCACTCACCCCTCAGGCTGGCCCAGATCCCCACAGCACAGAGAACGAAATAAAAGGCAGCACTAGAAAAGCTCTTAAAATGCCCAACCGAAGGGTTCAGAGCACGGCATTTTACTTGAGCTATCGTACGAAACGGACCAAAATAAATACGATCCAGGAAGTGTGTGTGTGTGTGTGTGTGTGTGTGTGTGTGTGTGTGTGTGTGTGTTTTGCAGGAGGGATGAACAGAGAAAAGGGACGACAATAATAAGGCATGTCACAGCTGCCAAAGTAAGAAGGGTCAGAATGATGGGATGTAGGAGCAGAACGGAGGACCTGCCTCCTCTCAAGGTAGCCGCGTACCACACTTTTCAATATTTCCCAATTCGTCATTCAGGCACAACTGGACGTCCCAAAAAAGAAAAGCACAACCCACACTTGAAAGGAAACCCACCAGACCCGTCAATGATTCAGAAAGCTACCAGGCTGGATGTTTACACAAGCCATTATGTAGTAGTTCCAATTCTTGAATCACTTAAAAAGCTGGTGAGTCCTTCACGCCCTACCGAGGTCACAAGTTGCCCCCACCCCACAAGCGGCTCTCCGGCACGGCCACGGCTCCAGAGGCACAAGGACTTCATGCAGAGCCTGGCAGCTTGCGGCAGAAAAGTGAATGGACTATGTGTTAATCTACGGTGTCACGTCTCCCCGGGAGGGAAAGGGTGTTGCTCTGTTCCACCTCCCTCCCCCCGCCAGCAGCAAGGTGGCCGCCGCCTCAGAGCTTATTGAAAAGCCAGGTATGAGCTAGAGGTGATGGAGCAACTGCAACCTCAGGGGAAGGGGGGCGTTCCCGGCTGGTCCTTCACGTCCTACCGAGGTCAGGAGTTGCCCCCCACGAGCGGCTCTCCGGCACGGCCATGGCTCCAGAGCCACAGAAACCAATCTCGTAATTATCTGGCTCTTGGCAGAAATCCCTCCAGACTTAATAAGTAAAGTATCAGAAATCCAAAATCGCGCAGCCGCAATACGACATCATGTGGTTCTCATAACCAGCTACAGAAAACAAAGTATTTCACAATGCTTTTTCAGCAATTCTGATTGTTGGGGAGGGTAAACTCTAAACAATAACGGCGCATCTTTTGTCGAAATGATGAATGTAATCAAAGTAGAGAGTTAAGTGGAAATCATCTGCCTCACAGGCACTGGGAGGGGTGGCAGGGGGTTATATTGGGGTTCTTGGTGGTGAAAAATAAGTCCTGGGGAAGGGAAAGGTGTTTGACCATCGTATGACGAGACTTAAACCTGAAAGTGTTAGTGTATTTGGCAAGAGGGCTCTGACACACTGGAACATGTGCACGTCGGGGAGTTTTCAGAGCCAGAGCGCAGAACCAGGCGTAAGTCCTGAGCACTGCCAGGTGTGTCCCCTGCAACAGCCCCCCACCCGAAAATAAAATTAGGTTAAGAGTTGTTTCACCCAAAATACAATCTATAAGAAAAGAATAAAATGAAAATGATTAGGCAGAAGTCACGGGTAGCTAGTGCAAGTTCAATGCCTCAAAGAGAGTCCAACATTTCATGCCAGTCGATGTGACACGCATGTCGCCACTGGAGATATTAAGGCAGTCCTGACGAGAAGAGAAATTCCTTTTTTGTGTGTTTTTTTTTTGGGGGGGGACACCCGGAAGTGCTTAGAGGACCACAGCGAGTCGGCTGCAGACAAGGCAAACCACCCTACCTGCCGTCAGCTACTCTGGCCCCTGGACAGTTAGAATGTCTGTCTTGTGCCTAAGGCGATCTTAGATAACCCAGGATCAGGTCAAAATCCAAGACCACGGTCAGCTCCTACGCTGAGGGCTCAAAACTTAGGTCTCTGAGATGTGAGACCACTTACGATCTATGCTCTCCCAAGACTCCCAGCAACTCACGGACAGCGGTGCGCTCTGGAAACGGCGGTGCTAACCAACCGAGCTGTTTAACGAAACCCCCCAACTATGATTCATCCATCAAGTGTCCATTTGAAACCCCGCACTCTGGGGCACCTCCCCCCTCCCCCCCCCCCCCCTTCAGGCCAAGTGAAACAGCTTCTGGAGGCCAAGGCCTTTTTGGACCAACCAGAGTCACGTGATCTCCACGGTTCTCGGTTCATTTTCCCTTTGGTCAAAGGAAACCCAAGGAAGGACTTTGTGGCACCGGCAGCCTGAGCCCAGAAAGAAAAAAAAAAATGGGAAGGAATCACGGAGGGAAAAAAAGAGTGTGTGTGTTGAGTGTGTGTGTGTCTGTCTGTCTCTGTGTGTGTGTGTGTGTGTGTGTGTGTGTGTGTGTGTGTGTGTGTGTGTGTCTGTGTGTGTGGGGGGGGGGGGGGGCCGGGGAGAGAGGGATCACGAAGCTTGGATCTCCGAACTCTCGGAGCACCGGAGCTGCCAAGGACTCACCCGGGCGGTGTCAGAACTCATGCTGTCCTGACTGCGCAGGCGTGAGTACTCCTCCGCGATGTAGGACGCCGACTCCTGCGTCAGGACGGGCTTGATGATCTTCGCCACGTGGATGTACTTCCTCATGAAAGCCGCACTCACCATCTTCTCCCTGACAAGCGCCCGGTCAGTCCCGCCGCCCGGAACCCCCACGGCTCCTAACTCCCACGTGCACCGAACAGGCCCAAGGCCAAGGCCTTTCCACCGACACGTGTTTCATTCTAGGGGTGGTGTCAGTCGGGTGGGAAGTTTGGGGACCATCTGCCCGGCTCCAGAGGCGGGGGATGGATCCAGGGCCCCAGAGAAGCTCAAGTGGAATCTGATCTTCTGACGCCACCTTCTGGGTCCTTAAACCAACAAGGCCAGGGGGTTCTGCTAGACTTCCTACAGCTCCAGGACCAAAACGAGAGAGAGAGAGAGAGGAAGCCCCGTTTCCCGCTTGGGTAACTGATCTCGGGTCTACAGTGTTTGCTACCTCTGGATCTTCCTCGGAAGCGCCTCACCAATGCTCATGGCACCTGTGTGATGCTTCGGACATGGGAGTGACACCACACACCCACCACCAGCTAGGATTATCACTACAGGCTCTATTTCAGGAAAACAACACACAAGGGGCATAAAGTTATCTGGTCCAGGGATCCAGACACCAACGCCGAACACGCTGTCAGAAATCTGTGTCTAGCCTAGGCCCAGGCACAGCCCCGAGTTCCAACGCATAAACAAGCCCCAGGAGCACCAGACTCTTGGGTCCCTAGTGGTGAGAAGCAGGAGGAAAGTTCACTTTTTTTTTTTTTGGCTTTTTGGGTGACACCCGGCGATGCTCAGGGGTTACTCCTGGCTCATGCACTCAGGAATTACTCCTGGCAGTGCTCGGGGGACTCTATGGGATGCTGGGAATCGGACCTGGGTCAGTCGCGTGCAAGGCAAACGCCCTCCCCGCTGTGCTATCGCTCCAGCCCCGAAAGCTCACTTTTTCCTCTTGGTCCCGTGCAGAAGGTTGTCGTGCTTCTCATAAATCTGCGTGTCCTGCTGGTCTTCTGGGTCAAAGTTGGGATCCTCTGTGGCCAGGATTTCCACGGCACTCCCCAGAGGCATAGCTAGAAACACAAGAGAAAGGACAGAACACGATTGGTTGCTTGCCACAAGTGGGACGGTGGAGGGTTGACGTGGGGGGGGGGGGGGTAGGGGGTAGTTAGGATAAAGAGGATACCACTACGACAATGATAGCTGGAAATGACCACTTTGGACAAAAACTGAGGATGAAAGTAGGTAAAGGGATATACATGATGATGACCTTTCAATACCTGTGCTGTAAACCACAGTGCCCAAAAGGGAGCTTGGGGTGGGGGAAAGGAAACAGGAGAGGGGTGATGGGACAGGGGGAGGGAGAGGGAGAGAGAGGGAGAGACAGGAAGCTGGGGGAGTGGGTGGTGATGGGGATGAAAACTGGGGACAATGGTGGTGGGAAATATATATACCGGTGGAGAAATGGGGGTTGGAACACTGTATGACCAGAAAGCCAATCATAAACAACTTTGAAACTGTGTGCATCACTGTGATTCAATTGAGAGAGAGAAGAGAGAGAGAGAGAGAGAGAGAGGCTGGAGCAATAGCACAGTGGGTAGGGCGTTTGCCTTGCACGCAAAAGACCCAGGTTCGAGTCCCAGCATCCCATATAGTCCCCCGAGCACCGCCAGGAGAGATTCCTGAGTGCATGAACCAGGAGTTAACTCCTGTGCATCGCTGGGTGTGACCCAAAGAAAAGCAAAATAAATATATAAAAGAGAAAGAGGAGAGAGAGAGAGAGAGAGAGAGAGAGAGAGAGAGGACAGAAGAGGTTAGCCCAGTGAAACTGCTTCTTTCACAGCACAGAAGGGAAAGACTCACAAAGGAAGAATCCAGAATGCAATAGATTCGTGGAGCCTTACCAACAGAACCAACTCCGGACCCACATTCAAAGGTGTTCTCGGACCCAGAAATGGATAATGATCACCCCCAAGTGGGCAATCAGCCCCCGTGCCCACGACATCGGGGCCACTGGGTGAGGGCGGAGCTAGCGGCCCCGGTGATGCCATTGAGTCCCCCGGCCCGTCCCCTGGCCTCACCATCGCCGTCCTGCTCGCCGGGGGCTCTGTATCGGTGCATCCTAAGGACGTGGTCGGAGATCTCCCGGTCCTGCTCCGGATCCATCTGGTCCAGCATGATGAACAGCAAGTCGAATCGGGACAATAGGGAGTCCTGCAGGGCGATGTTCTCCATAGGGGTTTTGTACTGGTCGTACTGAGGAGCGGGAGGAAAAAGGGAGGTTGGAGGTGGCATTAATGGGAAGGAAAAGAAAGCTGAACTCCGGGAGCCAGAAGTTGAGATAAATAAATAGACAAACTGGTCTTAAAGAACAAAAGAAGCAACGAAACTTTTTTTTTTTTTTTTTTTTTTTGCCTTTTGGGTCACACCTGGCGATGCTCAGGGGTCACTCCTGGCTCATGCACTCCAGAATTGCTCCTGGCGGTGCTCGGGGGACCCTATGGGATGCTGGGAATCGAACCCAGGTTGGCCATGTTGGCTGCATGCAAGGCAAACGCCCTACCAGCTGTGCTATCACTCCAGCCCCGCAATAAAACTTTTTCTTATATTTTTTGCTCTTTGGGTCACACCCGGCGATGCTCAGGGGTTACTCCTGGCTCATGCACTCAGGAATCACTCCTGGCAGTGCTCGGGGGACCATATGGGATGCTGGGAATCGAACCTGTGTTGGCCATGTTGGCTGCGTGCAAGGCAAACGCCCTCCCCGCTGTGCTATCGCTCCAGCCCCACAATGAAACATTTTTAAGCATACCTACTCACCCCCAACCTTTCCCTAAATGAAGCTCAGAAAATCTTCTTAAATGCCCCCCCCCCCGCCCCCGTCCCTACCCTTCCTTCTAAGAAAATAGAACCCACCTTTTAGCTTAGGGACCCAAGAGACCTAAGAGAGTCTCAAAACCGGCCCCCTCAACCCCAAATCCTACTGTTTCTTTCTCTTTCTCTAAGAGGAAGCCAAACCTGAATGATGACCTCCCCTCCCTTTCTCACCTGTCACCAAAAAAAAAGAGGGCTAAGCCAACTCTCAAAAAAAAAAATTAAGAGTCCCTTACTCAAAAGATACCGAGTAAAGCTGCAATGGAAATGGTTACGATCTCCAAACGTTAACATCTTAAGATGAAGGGAGATCTTCCCTGGGACACAAGAACCTGACTCTCTTAGCTTTTAATTTCGGACCTTATGGGGAGGCCTACCCACCTACACAGACTAAAGTCAGCAGCTAACATGAATGATACCGATCGTATTCACATTTTTCTAGTACCTGCATTTTCGCTCTCTATGTCCCCCGAGATCGATATGCCAAACACAGTAACAACAAGTCTCATGATGGAGATGTTACTGGGCCCGCTCGAGCGAATCGATGAACAACGGGAGGACCGTGACTTATAGCACCGTGTCCCCTGAGAATGAGATCGATATTATAGTATTCTAAAAAAAAAATCTATGGCTCTCAATCCATGCTATGCATTAGATAACCTACACAACAGAGTCTTTCCAAGTCATAACCACACCAAGTGTCACACCAACGACACCAACCTAGAGATTTCTGATTCAAAACTCAGGACCGGAAGGAGACCAGGCACCTGAATGTTTCCCACCCCCAAAATGGGCACTCCCACACACTCTGAAATCAATTCCAAGATGATGGATGCAAACCAGACTTTCAGTCACGAGATGTGTGTGACGCAGTACGCACAAACACGAAAACTATACCTGAAACTTGTCATAAACCCATGCTACTTCATTTCTGGAAGGAGTTACCAATATCTGCATCCCCACACTCTGGAGAGCGCCAGGAAACCAGCATTAAGCCTTGACTTCCATTTTCCAGACGGTGACTCCTGAGCAAGTTACTGAACCTTTCAAGCCTCCACTCTCTTGTCAATAAAAGGGAGACCATTAACTACCTAATCAGGGGGTGATTTGGAGGATAAAAGGAGAACGTGAGCATAAAGCACCTGAAGGATGAGTGAAGTCTCCCAGGACAGAATCAGCAGTGAGAGTGATTTGGCCATCTCTAGCGAAATAACAACGTTTAATCCAGTAACTCCACTGCAAGGTCACTGTCCTCCCGTTGTTCATCGATTTGCTCGTGCGGGCCCAGTAATGTCTCCAATTTGAAACTTGTTATTACTGTGTCTGGCATATCAAATACGTCACAGGGAGCTTGCCAGGCTTTGCCGTGCGGGTGAGATACTCTCGGTAGCTTGCCGGGCTCTCCGAGAGGGGCGGAGGAATCGAACCCGGCTCGGCCGGACTGGCTGTAATGTGCTATGATAGTCTTTTATCCAGAGGATAATATATTGAGATGGAGTGATAGCACAGCGGGTAGGGCATTTGCCTTGCACACGGTCAACCAGGGTTCGATTCCCAGCATCCCATATGGTCCCCCGAGCACCGCCAGGAGTAATTCCTGAGCGCAGAGCCAGGAGTAACCTCTGTGCATCGCCAGGTGTGACCCAAAAAGCAAAAAAAAAAAAAAAAAAAAAAAAAGTCTATCATAGCACATTATTTTCACACTAAAAGACAAAGATTAACAGGTTCATCCTTAAAAAAAAAAAGCATGGCAGGGGGCCAGGGTCAGAGTGACAGTACAGGATGAGGCAGTTGCCTACACAACCCACCACAGTTTAATCCCCAGGACCACACCGACCAAATAAAGATAGTACATGCCTCTCTGCATCTGGATTTTATTTCCCTAAAGACTCAAAAAGGAGCCAGAAAGAACGAACAGAGGTTCAGGGGCTTGCCTTGCACGGTGCTGACGCTGGTTCGAATCCCCAGCACGCCGTACGGTCCCCCGCCCCAAGCACTGCCAGGGGTCACTCCTTGCTCAAGGCCAGGAACAGCCGCTGAGCACTGCTGGGTGTGCCGCCCCCCTGCTCCCCACAAGCCCCCCAAAACAACCCTCCAAAGCTGCCGGCAGCCACCTCTTAGGAAAGGAGCAGAAGGAAGACAATTTCCCTACTATCTCTCTGTTCTGTGTACGACTGTCCTTCCCATACAATAGACAGTGTCACTGGGTCACCTGGATTGGGAGACTGCAGATCCTTCTGTTTGGCACAGAGCACTGCCCAGAGCCGAGACCAGCAACAAGATGCAGCGCCCACTTCAATCCCCGGCCCTTCTATTCCGGGGGTCGTGACCTAGATCCGGTTTCCGGGCCGAAGTTTTCACCTGGCCCGGTGGTTCGGCGGCTGATTCCACTCACCCTGCCGTAGACGGGGTTGGCAGCGGCCAAGACACTGCAGCGGGCATTCAGCCGGGCATGGATGCCAGCCTTGGCGATGGTGACGCGCCCTTGCTCCATCACTTCGTGGATGGCCGTGCGGTCCATGTCGGACATCTTATCGAACTCATCGATGCAGACCACCCCTCGGTCGGCCAGGACCATGGCCCCTGCTTCCAGCCGGCGCTCCCCTGTGGGAGGGGGACGACATGCCACGGGGCATGTTTGCAGAGGGCAGAGAAGGGATTTCTCTCTCCCTGCAGCTGCCCCGGCACAGGTGAGAACGCAGAGAAGCCAGAAACGGGCACCTTAGAGGAAGCCCTGGGGACAACCTGAACAGGAATGTCCTTGTCCAACCATGACCCCTCGTCATGAGCCTCCAAAGAGTTTCCTTTATTTTTTTATTATTATTATTATTATTTTGCTTTTTGGGTCACACCTGGCGATGCACAGGGGTTCCTCCTGGCTCTGCACTCAGGAGTTACTCCTGGCGGTGTTCAGGGGACCATATGGGATGCTGGGAATCGAACCCGGGTCGGCCACGTGCACGGCAAACGCCCTACCCGCTGTGCTATCTCTCCAACCCCTATTTTTTTTTTAATTTTTTAATGAATCACCCTGAGGTAGTTACAGACTTACAACCTTTTGTGTTCACGTTTCACACAATGATCAAATGCCCATCCCTCCACCAGTGCCCACCACGAGGAGAGGACGAAGAAAAGAATCCAGAAGCCTCAACGGGGGTCACCCACAAATAGGATCTCTCTGATAAAGAATTCAGCGACGAAATGTTAAAGGTGTTCAATGAACTCAAAGAAACGGTGGAACAGGCATCCGGTAAATTGAAAGAGGACATGAAAGGAACAGTGGAACGAACAGCCAAGAAATTACAGGAAGAAACGAGGGCAGAAACAAGAAAGCTACAAACAAGAAATGCCACGAGGAAACGATTCGGAAGATGACACAACTTCCTTTCAAGATTTTCCTCTCCTTTCTCGTCCTCCAGTGACTTCCCCGACAGCTCTGTGCTTTTTATGTGAGTCGTCCCATCCCTTCCGCTAATTTATGAAATAGCTCGATTTCATTTTCACCTCCCAAGGAAGTCCCGAGACTTTCTTTCTCCGATCTCTCCCAGGTTGCCTTCTGCTCTTGTCGACCGACAGAGGGCCAGCCCCAGGTCTCATTCAATCAAGTCACCCTATCGCCAGGTTACCAGTCCCCAACTTTCTGGCCCACGCACCGCCTCCAGGGAACCCCCCCACCCCGAGGCAGCGCTCAGAGTGATGCCCCCCCAAGACTGATGCCCGCCCTCGCGGCCGCACGTCTCTCACCTGTCTCCTGGTCGGTGGTGACGGCTGCCGTCAGGCCCACTCCAGAGGAGCCCCGGCCAGTGGTGGGGATAGCCCGGGGTGCCGTGCACAGCACGTACCGCAGCAGCTGAGACTTGGCGACAGACGGGTCTCCTGTAACGGGAGGGGGCGGTGGGGACTCTAGGAAATTCGCCCAGTCCTGAGCAAGTTCTTTTACAGACACAGTTCCTGGTACCAGGAGACAGACCGGTAATCAGCCGCTAATATTACTTTTTGCTGTTGTTTTTTCTTTATCATTTGAGTCAAGATTTTTTTTTTCCTTTTTCTTATGCTATCAATCAGGAAATTCAAAAAACTACAACCCTCAAGGGTTCATTTTTAAGCTGCTCACCCTTTCGGGGGACCGAAATGTTTAACGGGAATCACGATTCACAGGCCACCACAACCAAACACTCCGGGAGTTGAAAGCAAGAAATCACAATCTCAGAGACTCATGGGTCACCACCGCTAACATGTGTCATGGGAGTCACAATCTCACAGATTACAGGTCACCACAACTGCGCACTTTTGAGAGCCAAAAGCGACTCCCCACAGACCTTACCTATCAGAAGAATATTGATGTCCCCACGGATGTGGCTGCCGTTTTCAAGATCCCGTTCCACCCCTCCCAAGAGCAAGCAGAGAATCGCCTTCTTGACATACTCATGCCCATGGATGCTGGGAGCCAATGACCGGGCCAGCTGGTCAAAGATATCCTATGGGAGGGAGCACCAAGTCTGTGAGAGTCTCGTGAGATTCAAGAGGGCATCACTGATGTCCACGTTCGCCCTCAGCCTATAGAAAATGCTGGAAGAAAGACCACTTCTCACTGAAAAACCTACGTTCATGAGACACGATGCACTGACCTGAACATTATCAAAACAGAAACGGTGGACACCTGGATCCCAAAATTACCAAGAAATTTAATCGACAAGAAAGGGTTCCCAGATTCAAAACATTTTAAGCTTAATAAAAATGTATATTGTGCTGCAGCAAAAAAAAAAAAAATGTAAGCACACGTGCATGATTTTATCCAATTCTAAATGTGGATATTGTCTTTAAAAAGAAAAAAAAATGGAGAACTGAAAGTAAAAATTAACATGGCACTTGAAATTTAAGAACTACTCCATCACTAACGCCATGGGTATAATGTGATTTACATCAAAGGCACATTGATATTCTAAGTCCTTTTCTAGTATTTGCATTAGATTCACTGAGACCAGAAGATAATAAAAAAAAAATTCAAGAACCCAAAGCAAAAATACCTTTTTACTTGCTGCCTGGTCAAAACTTGAAGCTAGCACCAGGTAACTTCACTGTCACTGTCACTGTCCTCCGTTGTTCACGGATTTTCTCGAGAGGGTACCAGTAACGTCTCCATTGTGAGACTTGTTGTTACTGGGTTTGGCATATCGAATACGTCACAGGTAGCTTGCCAGGCCTTTGCCGTGCGGGCGAGATACGCTCGGTAGCTTGCCGGGCTCTCCGAGGAATCGAACCCATTTGCGCGCAAGGCAAACGCCCTACCGCTGTGCGATCGCTCCAACCCCAGATAACTTCAGAGGAGGAAAAAACCCTGACCTTCCACTTCAATGAAGAGGGCCAGCGTCCAAACAATGTCCCTGACAAACGCAGGCTCACCCCACACCCCTACAGGGCATGCAGACGAATCCACATCCACTCCAACCCCCTACAGGGCCTGCAGACCTTAGAACGGGTCTTGCTGAACTTCTTGATCTTGGCTATGTCCTCAGCAGAGAAGGAAGGCTGAAGGTCCTTGCTCATCTGCTTCACGTTACAGGCAATCAGGACGGTCCTGGGACAAAGAGAAGAGGCAAGACAAATGGATGGTTGTCAACTCCTAACATCATAGGCAGGTTAGGCGAGTGATCAGTAAGAGCGAACTGGGAAAAAAAAAAAAAAAAGGAGAGAAATCAAGACAGACTAAGTCTCTCTTAGGCTATAACCTAAATAGACTTACTCGACCTCACCTAAGAAACGGGTCTTCTCTTACTGAGCCAAGTTTCAGAAAGAAGTGAGTAGAGCAGGACAGATCGATCGCTCCATAGCTAGAAGCCTCATGAGATAGAGAACAGAGAACAGAGAAGGGATCACTAAGGAAATGGCGGCTTGAGGAACCGGTGGGGATGGGAGATGTGTGCTGAAAGCAGATAAAGGACCAAACATGATAAGCTCTCAGGGTTTGTACTGCAAACCATAATGCCCAAAAGTTGAGAGAGAGTATGGAGAATCACGTCTACCATGGAGGCAGGGGGAGGGTGGGAAATGGGGGGTATATCGGGGATATTGGCGGTGGTGAATGTGCACTGGTGGAGGGATGGGTGTTTGATCCTTGTGTGATTGTGACCCAAACATAAAAGCTTGTAACTATCTCACGGTGATTCAATGAAAAATTTTTTTATAAAAAAAATAAAGTATGTAGAGTAATACAGGTATAAACTCGCAGGTACACAGAGGGGCTACACATCACCACCAACTCCCACTTTTAGTCTAAGCTAGGATGACAAGGTTTTGGTTCTTGTGGGGTGGGATGCCTCCCGAGCAGTCTAATCTTTGCATTGGAGTCAGGAGGCCTGGGGGCCACGCCTGATGACACTCAGCCCAGATGTGCAGGCTGGACAACTCAAATGTTTAGGCCAGCACTGCTGGCGGCCCTCGGGGCCATCCTAGCAAGGCGGTGGGCGTTGGCGTGCAGTTCCATGGATCAAACTCAAGGCCCAGGGGGCTGGAGCGATAACACAGCGGGGAGGGCATTTGCCTTGCACGCGGCTGACCCAGCATCCCATAGGGTCCCCTGAGCACCGCCAGGAGTAATTCCTGAGTGCATAAGCCAGGAGTAACCCCTGTGCATTGCTGCTGGGTGTGACCCAAGATGACAAAAAAAACCCCAAAAAAACCACATACAAACTCAGGCCCAGGCCTGAGCTCCGTGAGTATTCCAAGTCGTATCTGACAGAAGAGGTCACCGGCCCAGTAGAGAACTCTGCCCGTGTTGTAACTCGAAGGGATACAGTGACTTAGGGAAGGGACAGTACCACAAATGGAGGTGGCGTTCCCAACACTGGCTGACTGACCCTTTACCTGAAAGTCCCTGAGGTGTAGCCGCCTTTCTTCCCAGGAAGACAGCGATAGGTCCCCACCACCTGGACTCGGTCTCCAGGCTTCACTTTATCCACTAGGTCATCATCCAGAATGACATCCACCGAACGGGGCAGCTGGCCGGCGGGGGCCTTCTCGGGCATCTCCTGGATGGTGATGGTCTGGTGGTCCTTGTAGACAGAGAGGCCATACTCTGTCTCCAGGGGGTTGTTTTCCTCATCCTAGACAGAGCACACCGTAAAGCAGAAGTTATTTCCGCTCTGTCTTAAGAAATGACACGATGGGCTGGAGCGACAGCACAGCGGGTAGGGCATTTGCCTTGCACGCGGCTGACCCAAGTTCGATTCCCAGCATCCCATATGGTCCCCTGAGCACTGCCAGGGGTAATTCCTGAGTGCATGAGCTAGGAGTAACCCCTGTGCATTGCCAGGTGTAACCCAAAAAGCAAAAAAAAATAAAAAATAAAAAAAAGAAATTTTTAAAAAAAAGAAATGACACGAACACACGCTTATTGTGGGAGACAAAATACAAAATACAGCTCGGAAATGACTTTGTGCCATTTTTCAGGGCCAGCAACCACAAAAGGAACATCCAGTCTCTTCTCTATCCCAATCCCCTTGTCTATCCTTATCTATTCTACTTGCAGGCCTTCTAATGGGAAGAAGAATCTATGTCTGAAGCGCCCGTAACCAGGTGAGTATCTACATTAAGAGTGTTCCGCTGTAGCTGAGTATGTGCTTACAGTGTGAGACAGAACTTCCACTCCCAGGAGACAGAAAGAATTCACTCGAAGCTCTGTGCTACAATGTTCAGAGCGACACTATTCCTGGTAACTTAAAAATGATCAACAGAATGTGGTATAGAGTCACACAAGTGAACATACTATAGGAAAGACAATGGGTGAATTAATGTTTGGAGCCAAAGCTGCCCTCCAATCCTACCCACAGCATAAACAAATCTTAAAGAATGTTCAGAAGAAACAGAAAAGCAGGCCCTAGAGATAGCTATACATTAAGGGGCTTGCCTTGCATCCTATCAACTTTGGTTTAGATAGCTGGCACTGCAGGGCCCGTGAGCCCCACAGCTAGGCAACTGACCCTTACCATTCACCCTGATTAATTTTTAAGTGGAGGACTTCAAGTATTAACCAGATTCTTGCACTAAGACGGGCATCTCTAACTCCGATCTCCAAAGAAGCCCCGTCAACTAATTTCCTCACCTTGGTAGGATACACAGAGCTGGACGGGAAGGCCACCAAGGTGGTGAGATCGGAGTAACGTCGCTCTATGGTCTTCTTGGTAGCAGGACAGTAGTGGACACTGCGGACCACTTTGGGACGAACCAGAGAACCTAGAAATGGAAATGTGCATACAACGTCCTTCAACTGGACAGTAACTGAGGTGGGTCCTGACCCTGGCAAACCAACATGACCAACCAAACACCATGTTTTTCTAACTAATTCAAGCTATTCCAACACTGTCATTTATTCTCTGCATTGAGAGAGTCATCTTATTCATCAAGCACTGTCCTCCTGTTGTTCATCGATTTGCTCGAGCGGGCACCAGTAACATCTCACAACAAAGTGTGAGACTTGTTGTTACTGTTTTTGGCACATCGAATACGCCACGGGGAGCTTGCCAGGCTTTGCCGTGCGGGCGGGATACTCTCGGTAGCTTGCTGGGCTCTCCGAGAGGGACATTCATCGAGAACCTTACAAATGATTCATCTGGAGAAAGAGGTGGGAGTTCAGGATCAGAATGAGACTGCCACGAGCCAGGACTCCGCCACCAGGGCCAGAACTCACCCCTCAATGAACACGAGTGGAAATCCAAAGTCCCCCGACTCAGAGCCCTCCTCCAAGTCTCACCGCCCCCCGGTTCCAATGCTGGGCCTTTCTGACGCTGCAAGACACGCCGTCCGACTCTACCTCCGCTTTCCCACCTGCAATCCTTTTAAATCTGCCCTCTGCCATTCTCTTAGTTCTCCACTGAAACGCACTCACATTTAGTGACGATGCCCTCCACACAGACCACACAGCTCAAGAAGCAAGAGGTGAGGGTCCGGGGAGAGACGTGTTTGGCGCCAAAGCTGCCCTCCAAGCCTATGTAGAACTCCTCGTACTGCTTGGCGTAAGTAGCATCGATGGAGGCCACAAAATCCTTCAAGGCCTTCTGGAAGGCAACCAGCTCCTCAAAAGCATTGTTCAGGAGGCTACGTTATAGATGGAGAGAAGAAAGGATAATTAGAACCCCCCAAAAAATAATGAACAGCGTCTTAGACAATCAGGGCCAAGAAACGAAAAGCCAGTTCCTGTTTCCTAATGCCGCCAGTACAACCGAGGGCCAACCGTAACTCATCTTATCGAAGATGTACTAAGTGATACTTGTCCATCTGAATATGGAAGGAAGCGCTCTTGGAAGGAAAAGGACTAAACGACTTGCTCCTATGTTTGGCTCTTAGGTCACAGTCAGCAGTGCTCAGGTCTTACTGCTGGCTGTGAGCTCATGGGTCACTCCTGTGGGGACTCAGAGACCTTATGCAGTGCCGGGGATTTGAATCGAGACAGCAAAGCAAGTGCCTTATGTGCTGGACTGTCTTGCCAGCCCCACATACCGGTGGAAGAAGAAAAAACACAAGCACAGGTAAGGCAATGAGGCCGTCGAGGTCAGTGATGCTGCATCCAGATTCCTGTAGGGCCTGGGAAGCCAGTTCCAGGCTTGGGGGGAGAGAGATGGGCCATTCTCACTCAGAGCCAAGACCCCCCCTGAAAGCCCCTGCCGCTCACCGGTTCGCTCTCTTCTCGTTCTTCCTCCGCAGGTCGTTCACATTGACAATCAGCCGGTAGAGGTTGTCACTTATCAGCTCCCGAACTTTGCTCTGATAAATCCCCTGATCTTCCTGCAAAACAGCCACGACGTGTTACAAGAGACACGAATTCAGAGTACGATGTTTGAAAACAGGCAGTTCACAGAGCAAGATTTTTGCGGCAGCACGACATCATATGTTATTCATAACCAGCAAGAGAACGAACACAAATTGTCTACTGTTGCCTTTTCAGCAGATCTGAGTGTTGGGGTAAAATCCCAAATGATAATGGTGGGTCTGGTGTCGAAATGTTGAATGTGATCAAAGTAGAGAGAGAGTAATGTGGAAATCATCTGCCCCACAGGTAGGGGGAGGGTGTGGGATGGGGGTATACTGGGGTTGTTGGGGGTGGAGAATGGGCACTGGTGAAGGGATGGGTGTTTCACTGTATAACCGAGGCTTAGACCCGAAAGCTTTGTCACTGCTCTCACGGTGATGCAATAAATAAAATTATAAAAAAATGAAAAAAAAAAAAAGTAAGGTGGAGTTCATGCACAATTCAATCAGCTAATCAGTGGCTGAATAAATAGCAGTACTCCTACCAAAAAAAAAAAATTGTCTGTGGCAGAATGTGTCTGAATTCAAACACACTCCGTCACTCCCCTGCCTGCCCCATATTTTCTCACTCACTAGCCTTAGAGTCACATTCACCCTATGGGGGCAGTTTAAGCGTCAAGATTTCAATGTAGTGCTCTTTCCCTTGTCACCGACAGCTTTGTATATGCAAGCAATTCTCAACTTCTACTAAGAAACTGAAAGAAACGCATAGTAAGGGCATGAGAAAAATCCATAAAAACCTTGTTTTTCAAAAGTAACAGAATGGCCTTTTACTATCCTATTAAGATAACTCTTTACCTAACGGGCCTAATGTTGAAAATTTACCTCCCAGCCATGTTGTTTAGAGCTAAAGGATCAGAGCACACGCTAGGGGAAAGGGAAGCTCAGATAGAGAAGGGAGTACCAAATAAAGGGTGTTGGGAGGATCCTCCCAGGATAGGAGATGCATGCTGAAAGTAGACTATAGACCGAACACGATTGTCACTCAATGCCTCTCTTGCCAACCACAGGACGCAAAAGGAGAGAGAGAACAAAAGGGAATTCCCTGCCACAGAGGCAGGGTGGGATGGGGGAATGGGGGGTGGGCGGGATACTGGGATCCGTGGTGGTGGGAAACGGGCACTGGTGGAGGGATGGGTACTTGATCATAGTACAATCGAAACCCAAGCACAAAAATTCGTAAGTCTACAACTGTACCTCATGGTGTTTCAACTAATAAAAATTAAAACGCATAAAAATGTCTAAGGAAGTTGAGTGAAAACCTTGTTCTTTAGAAAGTAACTAAGTGGCCTTTTACTATCCTGTTAAAATCACTCTTAAGGGTCTGGAGCGATAGCACAGCGGGTAGGGCAGTTTGTCTTGCACACGGCTGACCGGGGTTCGATCCCCAGCATCCCATAGGGTCCCCTGAGCACCACCAGGGGTCATTCCTGGGTGCGTGAGCCAGGAGGAACCCCTGTGCATCACCGAGTGTGACCCAAAAAAATAAATAAAATAACTCTTAAGAACTGCGCGCCTCGGGGCTGGAGTGATAGCACAGCAGGTATGGCGTTTGCCTTGCACGCAGCCAACCAACATGACCGACACAGGTTCGATTCCCAGCACCCCATAGGGTCCCCCTGAGCACCGCCAGGAGCAATTCCTGAGTGCATGAGCCAGGAGTAACCCCTGTGCATCGCCCGGGTGTGACCCAAAAAGCAAAAAAAAAAAAAAAAAATCAGGAAAGCCTCCAAGTCTCCTTTGCAAACACAGACCAACCACCCCTGGAGAAGAGAAGCATTGGCCAGCCTCCCACCCTCCAACTGGGATCGGTTCTTTTTCCTTCCTGCAGCCCCCTGGGCTCTCCCTGAGCTGCAGGCAGCAATGCCTTTGCACCCCCTGCAGGGTTCAAGGGGGGCCCCTCTGGCTCTGCATCACACCTGGAGTCGCCCAAAAAATTAAAAAAATTAAAAAAATAAAGGGGGTGGGTGGGGGAGGGGTGGCGCACAGGTCTCCTGGGGCCGAGAAGCCCCTGTCGTCGCTGGACGCTGGGGACCCTGACCCCGGGGGGCGCTGCCTTGGCATCTGCACTCGGGGGAGCGCGAGGGGCCCGGTCCTGGGCTTGCAAAGGGAACGCGGGCGGCGGGCCCGGTCAGCGCCCCGGGGTGCCCTCACCTCGTCGTCCAGGAAGTCCAGGTAGTCTCTCTGCGCCTCCCGCATCTCCACGTCGTCCAGCACCACGGTCCCCGCCATGCCCGCCAACTCGGAACCGCCCGGCCCGGAGCAGAGCGGCGCGACACGTCCCCGAACCGCGCAACCGGCGCCAAAACGCTGCCCGAGGTTTCCCGCCACTCGGCGGGGAGATCACGAGGGAGGGGCGGGGCCTCGGGGCCGAGGCGCCTTCTGATTGGCCGAGCCGTCGGACGCCTTCACGGCGCTGTCCAATCGGGAGCCGTTGCTCCTGCGGGGCTTTCCGGGCGGCGCCTCGTGGTGGCGGGAATTCTGCCTTCCGGGGCCGGCTATGTCGCCCCGCCCCTTGCGCTATGAATGACGGGAAAACAAACCAATGGGGTTGAGAGGAGGGTCGTCGCGCCTGCTCATTGGGCAGCTCGGGGGCCCAAGCTGGGAGCGCTGCACCCTGGGAGTTGTAGTCTTCCTGCTTCTCCCCGGATGCTGTGTCCTGTTCTCGGAGTTGCAGCTGTCAGAGTTGCTGCAAGGTCCGTAGGGAAGAGCCTGAATACGCGAGGCCCCGGGAGTGGGGGGAGGGGGGTTTAGGAGGCAGCATAAGATCAAAAGCGTAAGTGCAGGATCGTTAAAAAGAAAACACTAAAGGCTAAAGCGAGAAAACAGCGGATAGGGCGTTTGCCTTGCACGTGGCCGACCCGGGTTCGATTCCCAGCATCCCATGTGGTCCCCTGAGCACCTCCAGGAGTAATTCCTGAGTGCAGAGCCAGGAGTAAACCCTATGCATTGCCGGGTGTGACACCCAAAAAGCAAAAAAAAAAAAAAAAAAAAAAAACACTCAAATGTTTCTCTCGTATCTTTCAAGTGGAATCCAAAAAAAAAAGGTAAATTTTGAGAATACATTGGAATGGGATCATTATAGCATCTTTCGGGAAAAGTTATTTGGTTCTGCGAATTGTAGCCCCAGGATGCCGTTTTTGCATTGCCCCATTAAAATATCACTCTGCGTAGGAGAGGGAAATGAAATATTTTCTGTATATATTCCTCCTCCGTGCTCCAGAGATAACCACGCGTGTTATTATACAAAATTCTGCACGCGTGTTATACAAAATTCTGCACAGAGTACTCAACCACATCACTCAACGGATAAGATTCTTCTTACCTTATAAAGCGGTTACTTTTCTAAATGATCTTTTCTAAAGTAATTAAAAGGTGACACAAGAAGAAACCACCGGAGAATGTCGCTAAACAGTAATTAAAAGATCCATTATATATTCACGTTTCGGTCTTTCGCAGTTAGCTTTTAAATCTTTAACTTTTTGAGGTACAACTGTCACTGTCACTGTCCTCCCGTTGTTCATCGATTTGCTCGAGCGGGCCCAGTAACATTGTGAGACTTGTTGTGACTGTGTTCGGCATATCGAATACATCACGGGTAGCTTGCCATGCTCTCCGAGAGGGGCGGAGGAATCGAACTCGGCATATACAGTAAAACGCACAATCTTAACTATAGATAAACAAATTTTTACCTGATTCGATTCAGTGCACAAGAGCGTACTCCTTGCCTCTGCCCCCCTCATATTTTCATTTTACTCAGCAGTGAACCAAAATACCAGCATGCCCAATACTAGACTTAACTCTCTGTCTTGCCCAGCTAAGTATTAGTTTATGCCTAAATGCCTCCAAGATGGACTGTGTCCTGATTTTCTCAGCATAATCTCCCTACACAAAGTAGGTAAACTAACATAAACTATGTTTGTGAATTTTAATTATTATTATACAAGTTACAGTTTCTGTACATTTTGTGTCATCCTAATGGACAAATAAATTGATTCTCTATAGGCAACGGAAAAAGTGGTCACACTGCTTGTGTTTACAGTAACAGGCCAAGAGAAGTCTTTATTCTCAAGAAAAAAATCCCTGGTTGCAGTTATATAATAAGAGATTATTGGCTTATTTATCTTCCTATTTGATATCATTTTATGAAGATATTGAAGGCAAAACTGACGATATTCTCTGCTCTAAAAGTGATTTTCATTAATACCAAGATAAACTTAATTCAAACAAGCAAATAATTCAAGCATTTTGCGATAGAAAATTTAAAGAAGTGGGAATATGAAAACCACACATTTCACCCTGCATACTTTTCTGTAGACTTCAGTTTCCTCCCAGAAAGGATAAGGAAAAGAGAAAATAACACATCACCTCTCCTACTCAAATATTATTTGAGTTCATGATGAATTTGGAAACTGTAAAGACAGTTCCATTTAAAATTAATTATACCTGTGTGCTGAAAAAAGAGAATTAGATAGAGGACAAAACACAATGGCCTCTCAGCATCTCAGTATTGCAAACCAAAAGTAGAGAGCAAGAAGAAAATTTTTTGCCACCAAGGCAGGGGGTGGAATGGGATGGGGGTGGCGGGAGGGATGCTGGGAACATTGGTGGTGGAAAATGTACACTGGTGGAGGGATGGGTGTTTGATCATTGTCTGACTGACAATCATGAAAAGTTTGTAACGGTATCTCACGGTGATTCTATTTAAAAATAAATAAATAAAATTAATCAGGCCCATGGTCCTTGTAAAAAAAAACTTGACTTGCATAAAAGACAGGATATTTAATCGGTATATCCCCCTTCTTTCAAGAAGGAATAAAATCTGAGAGTGGAGAAAGTAGTTCTTTTGTTATTCTCTGCTTGTAAACTGTCAGTGAACAGTAGTAGATATTTGTATATAAAGTTTGAAATTACACACATCTCGTGCAGAATCTAGATGAATTTCTCCACTGGCATTCCTAGATGTGTTCAAAATGAAGGAGCACAAGTAACCTGACAAAGTAGTTTATCTGCGTTCCCATTTTCACTCACATTCTTTCTTTTCCTCCATCCATTTTAGTATTCGATATGCCAGACACAGTAACAACAAAGTCTCCAATGGAGACGTTACTGGGCCCGCTCGAGCAAATCGGTGATCAACGGGAGGGCCTTTACTTTTACTTTACTTTATCCATTTTTTTATGCGCCAGACCTTGATGAACCCTAAGCCTGTCTATAAGACGAAATAAACACTAGAGGGCTCCCTGTAGATCAGAAGTATGCTAGAAGACGGAAGAAAATAAATTGAGAAATACATATAATACTTTCATATCTTCAGGGGCCAAAATGAACCCAGGAACACAATAGAAACTCATAATATTATTTATAATTGCTAAATGACACAGAGATTTGTTCGATCCAATGAACAGTACAATGTTGTGGAAACCTTTCAAATAATACCCTACAATTAGTATTTGTATGGGTGAAGCAAGGTGGTTTCTGGAAAAAGTTACTTAGAAAAATGTGAGAGGAAAAAAAAATGTCCTATTAGGGATACACCCTGCTGTGCTGAGGAGCTATTTCTGGCTCTGCTCTCAAAGATCGCTTCTGGTGGTAGTCAGGGGACCGTACAGGGTGCCAGGGATCAAGCCAGGGTCAACAATGTACATGGCGAATGCCTGACCTGCAGTACAATGTCTCCCAAATATCCTATTTTTAATTTAGTTTTGATGACTCCATCTGGTGTAAGAATACCAGTGAGAGAGCTGCAGGTCTTGTGACCGTGAAAGCATAGTAAATTGATATGCTGACCAATGCCATGAGAGTATACAAGAATTATAATAACCCCAAGATGAGCCTTAGAAGAAACTAAAAAGGGTGGAACCCTGGTTCCTGAGAAAACTCCTTCCTGTTCTTAGCAAACTTATAAGCTTCTCCCTGCTTTTCACATAATCAAAAATGATCATTTAAATGCTGTACCCAGGGCAGGTAAAGGTAAAGGTAAAGGCCCTCCCGTTGATCATCGATTTGCTCGAGCGGGCCCAGTAACGTCTCCATTGGAGACTTTGTTGTTACTGTGTCTGGCATATCGAATACGTCACGGGGAGCTTGCCAGGCTCTGCCGGGCGGGCGAGATATTCTCGGTAGCTTGCCGGGCTCTCCGAGAGGGGCAGAGGAATCGAACTCGGGTCGGCCATGTCGGCTGCGTGCAAGGCAAACGCCCTACCCAATGTGCTATCGCTCCAGCCCCAGAGAGAGGGAAAATAGATGCTCAAGAGAGAACACAGCGTTCTCCAAAATGGAAAAAGCAAGCAAAGGTACACAGAGATAAACAAGCAACATCGATTTTCAAGGGAGATCACGGGCTTAAAGAATGAGTACCCTACAATAAATAATTAGCTTTAGGACTGTAAGTGCCATGATCCATTTCATTGCTTGACACTTTCTCAAAGGCCACAAAGTCTTGGAGACCAAAAATCATATGCCTCTAGGATCCTAGCTTAAGGAATACGCTACCAATCTAGACATGACGTGGTCAAGCAGACTGGTTTTCTTCTAACTTGTGGACTAATCAGAATCTTCTCCAAATGATGTAGTCTAGGATCAGTTGCACCAACCAAAGCTTATTTCATTATTTGTTGAAGAAATTAAGTCACAACTTTTGACTCTGGGCAAGTTGCTTAACCAGTCTGTACCTCATTTTCCTGCCTTTAAAGTTAGGATAGGATTGCTTCTCCTCCAGACTCCTTGGTAGGCTGTTAGTAGGAAACCCTCAATGCCAGCCCCTCACCTCCTCCAGTCCCATGGAGCCAAACAAGTCCTAATCATGTAGGAGTTCATCTTCACGCATGTTGACGAGGTTGGTATCCAGATTGGCAGTGTCTGCTGGAAGCTTACTGCCTGGAACGTGGCATCCTGCCCAATGGCCAGATGCCCAATGACAAGACCATTGACAGAGGAAATGACCCATTCGGCACCTTCTTCAATAAGTACTGATAAGCATGTGCCCAGGGAAGTGTTTGTAGACCTGAAATCCAGTGTCATTGATGAAATTCACACTGGCACCTACCGCCACCTCTTCCACCTTGAGCGGATCATCGCAGGCAAGGGAGATGTTGCCAACAACTACACAAGGAGATAGGTCACTGACCTGTCTTGAGCCAAATTCACCAGCTAGCTGACATGTCTTCAGGGTTTCTTGGTGTTCCCAAGCTTTGCTGGGGTTTCTGGTTCTGGATTCAATTATAGCAAGAAGTCCAAGCTCAAGTTTCCCCTTTCCCCAGCA